AGTGCATCTGTGCTGTCCCATCTGCATCCCTCAGCATATCCCCACTATCTCTGCTGTGTCTCACAGCACATTCCCTGCTGCAGCCCCCCTGGCTCTGCTGCAGCCCCGCTGCAGCTCTGCCAACTGCCTTTGCATCGCTCAGTGCATCCGTGCTGTCCCGTCTGTACCCCTTGGCATATCCCCACCGTCTCCGCTGTGTCCCCCAGCACATCCCCGCCGTTCCTGCTGTTCCGTGCCGCTGCATTCCCGCCGTCTCTGCTGCATCCCCCAGTGCAGCCCCGCCGTCGTTGCTGCATCCCTGCTGCCTCCAGTGCATTTCCTGGCACCAGTGCATCCCTGCTGTCTCTGCTGCAGCCCCTACCATGCATCCCCCCATCTCCAGTGCACTTCCCATGATCCGTACATACTGGCTGTCCCTGCTGCACATCCCAGTGTGATACTGCCCTATCTGCACCATCCCACTGTACCATCCTTGCCAGGGCTGCTGCATCCCCCTGTGCATCCCCTCTGCCCCTCTGTACCCCACTGCATCTGAGCCAGTTCTGCTGAAGGCGCCATTCCCTGCTGCGTCCCCACTTGGCCCATTGGCCTCTTCTGGTGCATCCCAGCTTTCCCTTCTCCCATCCCCTCCACAGCCCCTTCTGCCTCCCAGCTGCTCCCCAAGGGATCACTTTCCCCATGTCCCCTCACTCCCTGGTCCCCTGGTGCATGCCACAGTCCCTTCCCTGTCCAGCCACTCCCACCCATCCCTGCAGCATCCCCACATTGTGCCCAGTCCATAGAACCCCAAATCCCCTCCAGCTGCAGCCCTGTTCCTGGGTGACACCCAGCCCTGGATGAGGGTGTCTGTCCCCACTGATTGCTGTCCCCTCCTTGCAGAGTCCCCCAGCCCCAGCGCACAGGAGCCCGGGCCAGCCACGCCCGAGCAGCACTGGCCCTTCCCGGGGCCCGAGGACAAGGCCGCTGAACCCCCCGGGGATGAGCCCAGCAGCCCCAGGCCGGTGTGGACAGCGGGGGGTGATGCCCTGGGGGACCTGGTGACCCTGGAGCCCACCGAGCCCTCCCCACTGCCCATGGCTGCTGAGCCTCAGACTGGGGAGGCTCCCAACCCTGAAAGCCTCATCGACCTGTGGCAGAGTGATGGGGCAACACCCCCAGCTGCTTGGCCCCTGCCTGCTGCCCCTGTCCCCGAAGCCCCCCCATCTGCACTGCCCGAGGAAGGGGCTCTGCTGAGCCTGGACGAGCTGCCTGAGCCCCCCGCCACCTTCTGCGACGTGGAGCAGGAGGATGAGGAAGAGGATGAAGCAGCGGGCGAGGGGGACCCCCAGTCCCAGGGTCTCGGCTGCCAACACGTGCCCCAGGACAGTCCAGGCAGAGAGAGTCCCCCCATCACCAATGGGGAGATGGCCCCCAAGGATGGGACACCAGGTCGTGGGGAGCAGGTGAGCACCACTGGGGGTGGGAGGTCAGGGTGTGGTGGGGTGGCTGGGGGGGTCCTGACCACCTGCCCCCACCCCCCAGGCCAGCGAGGGCTATTTCAGCCAGTCCCAGGAGGAGGAGGTGCCCCCCCCCGAGGAGCTGTCGGCCAAAGCCCCCCAGCCCGTCTTCTACAACAAGCCCCCAGGTGAGTGAGGACAGTGAGGAGTGAGGTCTGTCCCTCCATGGGGCACCCCAAGCCATCTTGACCCCCCCTCCCTGTCCTCCAGAGATCGACATCACGTGCTGGGATGCAGACCCCCTGCCCGAGGAAGAGGAGAGCTTTGGGGGGGCCCTGTAAGCCCAGGCCCCGCTGCCGGCGCAGGCAGCCTGCCCCGGCCGGCGCGGGGCACGAGGGGGCTGCAGCCAGGGGCCGGGCCCCCCTCACCCCACTGGGGCCCCGCAGGATGAGGCCTCCAGGTGGGGGCCGCCCCGCTGCAACTCCGCCCCGGGGCACCTTTTACAGCCCCCCCTTCTCCTCTCTTTTTTAAGTTGTCGGTAGGAGCCGTGTCAGCCCCCAAGCCCCCCCTTAGCAGCCCCCGATACTCCAGCACCCCTTTGGGGGGGACGACACACACGCTCGCATCCCCTGCCTGGCTGTGGGACAGGGTCCTCGTTCTCTTCGTGCCCCCCCTAGGAGTCCCCCAGTACTTTGCACGAGTTCAAAGAAAAGAAATAATAATAATAATAATAAATGAATATGGCAATAAAGTGACCCGACCGAGGCGAGGCTGCAGCCAGCGGCGTCCCCCCCCAAATCCCAGCAGGGAGCTGGTGTGGGGCTTTTACCCCTTCCCGACTCCCTCCTTGCTGGGAGCTCCGTCCCCCCCTGCTTGGCCTCTGCTTGGCCCCTCTCCCCCTGTTCCCCTTGGAAACTTTTTGGAAAGCACAAGTTCTGTACCGGCAGTGTGCTCATGTCTGTTAATAAATAAAGCGTCTCCCACGGGGGCTGCAGCCTGCTAGGGGGGCAAGGAGGGCTGGGAGAGGTGTGGGGATCCCATGATGCCAGGCCGCGGGGAGGCAAACCCGAGCCACAAACTTTTATTCTCAAACTGTAACAAACAAAAAATTTAAGAAACAGAGCAGAGTCCGGGTCCCCAGCGACCCCGGCCATGGGGGGGCTGGCGGGGGCCAGACGGGGAACCAGCCCCTTCCGCGCCGGCGGCGATGGCCCGCGCCGGGGCGGGTGTCCCCGAGGTGACACGGGCAATCAAAACCACCCACCCCCCAGGTGCATGGCAAGGTCCGGGGGTCCCCCGCGGCCGCCGTTACACAGCGGTAGTCCTGCCGAAGAGGGGCATGGAGACCGGGAGGTGCCAGGGTACCGGCTCGTAGGTGTCCCTGCTGCTGAGCTCCGAGTCCGTCCAGCTGGGAAACATGCGCGGGGAGCACTCCTGCTGCAGATAGAGGTCCGGACAGGCAGGGCCAGGGCTGGCTGAGCGGGGCAGGTGCAGTGCCGAACCATAGCCGGCATCGAGGAAAAGCGGTTTATAGCTGGGGGGCTGCTCCTGCTTCTCCAGCCGCTCGTGGCTCAGGAAAGGGGCGTTGATTTTGCGGTAGAGCCCCCGCGTGTCCATCAGCACCTCGCTGTATGGTGGGGGGGGCTCTGCCATCAACAGAGCTTCCTCATAGCACGGCGGCTTTGACAGGTCCGACTCTGCAAGGCAAAGCCCCCCCCGGACCCCTGCTGCCGTCAGTGCTGCGCTCCGGCTCTCACGTCGTATTCCCCCCAAAACAGGGGGAGGAACGTGCTCCGGGGATGCGAGAGCCCCTCCCTGCTCCTTACCGTGCCGGCAGCTCCAGGGCCGGGGGGGTGGGATGTGGTGGGGGTGATGATGATGGTGGGGGTCGAGGCGGAGGCGGTGGGGAATGGCGATGCCGGGGGGGCTGCCCCTGTAACCCTCATAGTGCAGTGGCTCCATCTCCAGTGCGCGCAGGCTCTGCTCCCGCAGCCGCTCCTCCTGCTGCCGCTTCACCCGCCGCCGCAGGTAGCTGCAGAAGCAGCACAGCAGCACGATGAGCCCCCAGATGAGCCAGAAGCCCGCGAAGCAGGTGAGGAAGGTGTAGGTGCCCTGGGACATCACCATCTTGGCTGCCGGACCCGGGGGGAGGCCCCCGCCTTTCCCTGCCCTCGGGGTGGGGGACGGGATGCTCAGGGCGGCGGCAGGGTCAGGGAGGACCCGATGCTGTCAGGGCCGCCGAGGGCATCTCCCCGGGCCGTGCCCGGCGCCGTCTCCTCTGGCCCGCGGGCGCCTGCCGTCAGGGGTCCATCCTCGCCATGGAGCTGGGGGGGGGCTGGAGCGGGTGGGTCAGGCCTGGGTGCGCTGGGCGGGCGGCGGGGCAGGGGGCCGGCGGGGCGGGCGGCGGGGGATGGGGCTGGCGGGGTCCCGCTGCCCATCGCTGGGGGGGGACCGCCGGGGTGGGGGCCCTGCAACGAGACAGACGCGAGCGTGAGCGACACGGAAACGTGGACGCCCTGTTCCCATGGTGACTCGCTCCACATGCGCCGCAGTGCCCGCAGCCGGGGGGAACCGTGCCTGGCCCCCCTCACGCACCCCATCATTGCCTCCATGGCTGCAAACCTGCACACCCAACACAGAACCTCCCTACAGCACTGCCGGGCGCTCTGGGGCAGCAAATGGATGCTGCGGTCCTGACCTTTCAGACCATGGGGTGCCCACTGGGATCCTCTTCTCCTGCTCACCCAGCACACCCCAAATTGGCTGCTGAGCCCAGGCAGCTCATTCATTCCTGTGCTACCACACAGCGGGGTGCCCCGGGGTGCCCCGGGGAGAATGAGGGATGTGCAGAGCTGCCGGTTGCCGGTGGCACCCGGTGGCACGTGGCGCTTGCAAGAGCACGTGCATTGTGGCCTTCGCTGGCCTCGCAGCCAGCCAAGGAGGCTCAGGGCACGGTGGCACCTTGACACAGCAATGCAGGACCAAGGGGTGGTGAGGATGGGAGCCATCAACCCTGCCAGGTCCCAGCCCTCAGGCAGGGTGATGGCTCAGTCATGTCCAGCCCAGCACCGAATGACAACGGTGTGTGCCCCGCAGTGGGCAAGGAGCAGCACCCATGGGTGCTCACAGGCAGGCATGTAAGTACCCATCAGGATTCTCATTGTGGTGGTGTGGGTGAAAACGGGCTCGGCAGCTGGGAGGAGGATGAGCCTGGAGCGGCGGCAGCCGAGGGCTGGGCGACCACAGCGGCACCACTGCTCTCATATGGCTCTGCTCCGACACGGGTGAAGGGGTGCAGGGTGCTCGACCACCCCGCGGACCAGGGCCACGGCAGCGCCAACCAGGTGCTGAGGGTGCTGGCAGGGCCGGAGGGCCGAGCCCAGCGGAAGGAAAGAGCAATGGGGAAGGAAGGAGCAATGGGGAAGGATGGAGCAATGGGGAAGGAAGGAGCAATGGGGAAGGAAGGAGCAATGGGGAAGGAAGGGGTCAGGGGCCCTGGCCACTGGCAAGCAGTGAGGGCTCCTCCATCACGCAGACAAACGCGTGGGCAGAGTCAGTGCTGCGATGTGGGTGTCTGGGGAGGGGGTCCCCGCTTCCCGTCTGAGGCCACTGGGTGCGGGCAGAGCTCGCCGGCCGCGGCTGCAACAGGCTCCGCGCCTGGGCATCCCCGGGAAGGGGGGCACCGTGCGGGAAGGGCCGTGGGTCCAGCCCCGGGATGACGGCAAGGGGGACACCGGCAAGCGGTGCAGGGCTGGCTGGCGGCGCCACGGACCGGGGGCGTTCGCAGCTGGGGCGTGCGGGGGGAGCGGGGCTGCCGGGGACGTGCGGGCTGGGGGAGGAGCGGGGCTGGGCTGGAGACACTCATACCGGGCGGGGAGCGGAGCGGCCGCCGAGTCGGGCCTCGCCGGTACCCTCGGGCCGCTCCGCTGCCCCCGGCCGCGGCCTGGGCCCCGCTACCCGCGTCGCATCCCTGCCCGGTGCCTCTGGCGGAGGGTGACACCCCGGCGGGGAACCTCCCCGTTCCCGGTGCCGGGCGCGGCACCCCTTCCTCATCACCATCCTCCTCCTCCTCCCCCGGGGCGCGCGCCCGCCGGGGCCGGACGGGAGATTTGCGCCCCGGTACGCGCCGCGCGCCCCCGCCGCGGCTCCCGGTGGCGGCGGCCCCGCGCGCCCCCGCCCCGGCCCCGCTACCCCCGCACCGCGCAACAGGCGGAGGCGCCGCGCCCGCTCCCTCCGCGGCTCCTGTTACCGGCGGCGGCGGCGCACGTGGCTCAGGCGGCGGGCGGCGGCTCCATAGGGCGGCGGGGAGGGGGCCCGGTGCGCGCCCGGTGCGCGGCGCCGCCGCGCCGCCTCCCGGCGCTGCCTTTGTCTCCGGTGAGCGCTCCCGCGCCGCCGCCGCGCGCCGCCCCGCCCGCCCGGGCTCCCGCCCCGCCGCTCCGCCCCGCCCTCGGCTCGGGAGGGACCCGCGGGTCCCCCGCGCTCCCCGCCCCAGGACCCACCGCCGCCCGGCGACTACCGGCGGGGAGACCGGCACTGACACGGGATTCCCCCTCCCCGCCCCCGGGGAACGGCGGTGGGATGCCGGTGGCGAGAGGGATGGGGTATCCCCGGCGGTGGCCGCTGGAGCCCCACGGGATGGGGGACGGGGATCCCCGGGTAGCGGCTCCCGGTCCGGAGAGGTGATGGCTCCGCGATGCCTCGTGGGGTGGTGCCACGGGCTCCCACGGTCGGTGGCCTCGCACTCGCCCGGAGGTGCTCAGGAGTGCAACCACCCGCTCCGCCAGGGCCATCCAGACCTTCCTCAGGGGGTGACAACCAAGTGCTCCCCGGGGGGATGGCCAGGCCAGTGCAGGGACACCAGCAGGGAGGGCAGCCCAGCCGCTGGCAAGACCTTAACGAGCACTGCTATAGCCCCTCCCAGGCACTGCAGTGGGATGAGTGGCTCTGTGGGACAGTGGTGCCAGCCTGGCCCACAGGACAGTGAGGGACAGAAGTGGCACTGGGTGACATGGTAGTCTGTCCTGGGGTCACCCTGCTCCCTTGGAGCTGCCGTACCCCAAAGCAGAACCCTTGCCAGCCTGGCCTGAGCAACTGTTCCCTGTGCTGGGGTTCTCTCAGCCATTTGCTATTGGGGGGGGGGAATTGTCACCAGCTCTTCTCTGCTGTGACTGAGACCAGTGGTCGTGGCATTCCTGGGAGACTGCTCTGGTTCCTTGGGACTGCACCAAGCTTGGGGGCAAGAGTCCCCGCTGTCCCTTCACTGCACCCTGGAGCTGTGGCAGGACCAGGGCAGCGTGGTTACGGGGCAGAGCTGAGCCGGATGCTGGGTGGGTGACAGGGTGTGGGTGCCCCACGCAGGCCATGACCCCGCCGCCGCTTCCTCCCCGTGGGCAGGGTGGCGGGTGCCCGCTGTGGCTGTACACACGGCGCATTGTTCTGCCGGGGCCTGGCCGGAAGGACTTCCTCCATCCCAGCCAGGGAATGACCTGGGGAATCCACTGGCAATCTGCTCCCGCCACAGCCAGGCATGGCAGCTCTGGCAGCCGGCCAAGCCCCACCACCTCGCTAGCAGCAGGGCCACAGTGGCCATGTCTCCCCCCGCCCCCTTGATTCTGGCCCAGACTCACCTTGCTGGAACTCGCCTCCTGAGATCCGACCTCACAGCGTGGCCGTGGCAGCCGGGCAGCGCCGGCTCGATGGTTGTGGGGGTGCCCCAGCAGCACCCAGGGCGGGCAGGGAGCTGCGGCCATGCGGGGGGGATGGGGTGCTCCCTTGAGGCATGGGCACCACGGAGGTGGAGGGCACGGCGGGGTCTGCGGGCATTGTCAGGCCAGGCCAAGGGCGGGTGAAGGGAGCCAGGCCTCCGGCCCCGCCAGCACCGGGGGCCGGGAGCTGCCTTCCCCTTCCCCTTCCCGTCCCCTTCCCCAAGGCGGCGGGGGGAGGCAGGCGGGGGAGCGCTCCCCGAGCCACATGGTGGGCTGGAGGAGGAGCTGTTGCCCAGGCAACAGCTGAGAGCATCCTTCACCCCTGAAAATGGTGTGTGGAGCTGCCGCCACAGCCCTACAGTGTGGGGCACTGCCTGGGGCCCCCAGGACCCACCCAGAGATCACCTGAGTACATGGGGTCCAGATCCACCCGCTACAGCTGTGGCCATACACCAGCATCCCCATACCTGCACGCTACTAGCCCTCAGCAAGGGCAGGGATGGGGACGAAACATACCCTGAATGTTGAGGCACCATGGGGCAGGGGGAGCTTGGGACAGAAAGAGCCCATTCCCTGCCCTGCTCAGGGCTGGCCATGGCTCTTCTCACACCCCAGCCCTGCCCCAGAACCACCCTGACTTGTGACAGGTACACGAACATGCTGGGGACCCTGGGAGCTTGGTGCCAGGGTGTCATGGCCCAGGCAGTGCCAGGAGGGTGGCACAAGCATCCCAACCAGTGTGGTGGGAATAGCAATCTCCAGGCACTCCCCATCCCCCCGCCTGCCTTCCTTCCTTCCACGGCTGCAGAAAATTCCTGGATTTTACCCCAAGATGCCCCTTCTGAGTGTGAGAACTCCTCCTCGGCCCGCTCCCATAGCAACTGTTCCCTAGCTACCAGCCGCACTTGCTATTCTCATCCCAGTGCAGCTGCGTGTGGCCCCCCCGCGCTGCGCACAGAGCTGTCGCTGCTGCTGCCAGCCCCGAACCCCAAACCCACCCTGCATCCCCTGTCCAGGCTGCCCCCTTTTCCTGCTCCCCCCTGGTGATAGTCATGACTCTCACCCCACATCACCATGCAGTGTTCCCCCTTCGAGGGGCTGTTCCTTGTGCTAAATTAACTCTATCCCAGAGAAAACCAGGACAAGCACTGTGTGCTGGCATGAGGTCACCATTCATGGTGGCCCCCTGAAGTAGCAATGCACAGTGACCAGCGGGCAGCAGGACTCTGTCCCAGCCCCACAGCACACCTGTGACAGCCCAGGGGTGGCTGTGCTGAGCTCCCCAGAGGGGACTACACCAGACATGAGCATCACAACAGTACAAGGCCTTGTACCTGTAATGCCCCCACACTGACCCAAACCATGCAGCAGAAGCCACTGAGGGCCACCTGTGGCACCCAGGGCTCAGCCAGCATCAGCCCTTGCCCTGGAGGGCAACCCCTGCTTCCCTGCAGGGCATGAGCTCCAGCAGGGTCCATGGCAGTTCAGAAATGGGGATCTCTGCTCCCCTCCTTACAACCACCAATCCCATATGGCCCAGAGCAGGCCCTCACTGTGACATGAGAGCAACACAAGGCACGGCGAATCTTTACACTTAACAAAAGGTTAAAAATTTAAATACTCTCCAACTTTAGTGCAAGGCAAGCAAATGATACCACAGGTCCAAGTAGGTGCTCAGCCCCCCTGGGGGGCCTGGCTCAGAAAGAGCAGAGGCAGCAGCACACGCACACACACGTGTGTGCACACATACAGAGAAGGGGTGAGTTATTGCTCAGGACACGGCTAGGACAAGTGTGTACACGAGGGGACAGGACAAACAGAGCAGAAGTGGGCTGAGCCCTGTGCTGTTCCTCAGGAGGGCTCCAGCCCCTCCACTCTACCCTGCCCATGGGCACAGGAGCTGTGCTGGCTCCCCAGGACCCCTAGGGACACACACTAAGCTGGTCCCAGCCCACTTACTCTTGGGTCACAGCTCCATGTGAACCAAGGGACATTCCCTTTACCACAGCTTTGTTCCCCGAGAGCAGGGTCCCTTATGTGTCTGCTCCTCCGACACCGAGCAGGGCCTTGAGACCGCAGCACCTCTGGCATGCACAGGTCCAGAGCTGGTGGAACCATGCTGGGACCATCCTGCAGCATGCCAGGGATCAGACCAACCCTTTGGACCCAGCAGCAGCAGGTACCACAGGAGTGGCTGTGTCCTGCTGTGCCAGGGGTCTGGAGAGGGACTTGGGATCAGCTCGCCGGCAGCATGTGTGAGACGAGGCAGGAGGCAGCAGGATCCAGCAAGACAGAAGCGAGGACGAGGCAGTGACGCTCTGCTGCCAGGACGCAACGGGAGATGCTTTGGCACAGTGGTTTCCTGTGCCTTGGGGCTGAGCAACAGACTCCGCTGGAGCCAGGGATGCCTCAGCACAGCCAGAAAGGTCCAGGAAAGATGCTTTAGACACCTCAAGGCACCAAAGGCCTCTGCCCAGGACTCCCTGGAACAACGCTGGGACTGTCACTCCCCCCATAGGAGGACATTTGTGCCTGTGACAGGGTGGGGGCAGTACAGGCCCCCACCTATAGATTAAAAACTGACATGTGATATGTACAGACCGACATATATAAATATACATCAAACTCGCAGTGCCACTTTGGCACTATGGAATGTGTCAGCAGAGCTGCTCCAGCCTGGCCTTGGCCCACGCTGGCATGATCCCTCCCTCCCACCCTGGGCCCAGGAGGAGAGAGGCAGCAGCACCATCCCAAGCGGCACATTTGGAAGCGTCCGGGTTTGTCTCAGGGGTTGCCCATGGACAGAGGCATCTCAGCCTGAGCCATGTGCTGCTGCCAGCCTTGGAGTCATCCTCACAGTCTTCAAATACAGATGTGTAAAGCTGTAAACAAATTCGCCTTGTGGGGCCACTGCAATCGTGTCCTTCAGGCTGGGCACTCGGAGAGGCAAGGGGGTCTCAGGGGCTGGAGAATAAGCTGTGCTCTACAGCCGGGTGGGCTCTTCCTCGCTGTTGCCACAGTTTCCACAACAGTCCTGAAGTCAGAAGGGCAAGGAGAGGGAGGAGGGAGAGAGGAGCACAGCAAGCAGAGGGTGAGCACAGTCACACAACCCAGCCTACAGCTGCCCGCTGGCAGGGATGGGCCAGGCCCCCCATAGCCTGTGTGCGGGAGAGCTACATGGAGACAAGGACTGGAGGGGATCCCCCAGACTACAGAGGAACACTCCAGCTGCATCTGGGGGTTCAGCCCCTGGCAGACAGACTGGTGAGCACACAGCTGGCTAGTTCAGAAGCTGGGAGGAAGCTGGACTCTGGGGACTGCAGCCACCCAGGGAGACAGCTCAGAGCCAGCACAGGTGCTTGGCCCCGCTCAGGGCTCAGCCGGCTGTGGAAGCAGCTGAATCCCTTTTTGCTGAAATGGGAGTCTGAGCACGGGGCAATGCCAAACTCTTCACAGTTTCACAACCTTTCTGTGTGTCCTGGACATCCGTAGAGGAGTGAAGGAAACTTCCCACAGCCCCCTGGGAGCAGAGCTCCCAGCAGCTGCAGTGCAGGGGCAGCTTGGGCTCAAGCTGAGGGCAAGGCCTCCCCCACAAAGGCAGCAAGAGCAGGGAAGCAGGATTAGTGGCTCAGGGGGCTGTTAGAACAACAAGCAGAATGTGCTCTGCCAAGGGAAAGGGACACTGAAGGACAACACTCCTCTTTCCCAGATCTTGCCATGTCCACGGGCCATCAGGTATTTCCCTGAGCAGAGCAGCCAGGAGTGACTGCTCACCTCTGGAAAGAGAAAACGTGGGAAATCACAGCTCAACCTCTGCTACAGGCAGCTGCCCATCCTCTGGCAGGCCTTGGGAAAGGCCGGGTATCCCCAGAGCTGGCTCTGACTAGGGCAGCCCATTGAACCGTGAAGCACAACTCAGAGCTTGGCATCAGGAGTCAGCAACGGGTGGCTGAGTGGGTCCAGAGCCAATCATGCTGGAGTCCCACAGCTGCACACAGCTGTTGAGAGGCTTTGCCAGGCTGGGAAAGAAGGCAAACACTGTTCCAGGAAGAGGAGAGAGGCAGATAAGCAAGCCCGCAGCAGCTGCAAGACATTTCTGTTCTCCTCATCCCTCGAAAGAGCTGCTCTCTGCCTGGCTCAAGATCTGGCAGAAGTGCTCTGGAGAGCCCATTCCAAGAGCAATGCCTTGTTCAGGGATGGTATTATTCATGTAGGAAGAGAGATGACTTACTATTTTAATGCCTTCAACATCCTTTTGCCTGTGTGACTCCAGCACATTTAGCCAGGACACTCCCCATCCCTTTGACTCCCCCAGCATGGGGAGTGCCAGCCAGGTGAGGGTTGGCTCCCTGCAGCCTTGCATGAGTGCCCCTGAGAGCCCTGAGGTCCAGCCACCCAAAACTAGGGGAGACTTTGTCTGCTGCCCTCTCTTGCCAGACCTTCCTGGCTCGGTGCTGCTGGGGGACTGGCTGAGGAAGGAAACACTGGGCAAAGTCTTACCTGTCGGCTGAACAAGCGCTGGAGTAACCCTTTTTTGGGCTGTGGAGAAGGCTGCCCTTTCCAGTCCAGGTCTGGGGGCACTGTGCCATCTGTGCTAAAGACATTTAGCTCCTTAAAACACTCTGTCTCGATCATCTGGAAGAGGGTAAAGAAAGCTGCAGCAACTGTTACACCGAGCCAGGCACTGAAAGCCCAACAGTGTGAGAGCAGCAGGGACAGCAGAGACTCTGCAGGACCCTGCACTCGGCTGTGGTGGGCACAAGTAGGAGCAAAGACCTACCTCGTTCTGCCAAGGAATGGGCACACTTCCTGTGGCAAACTTCTGGTAGAAGTCATTGTCTGTGGGCTCCAGCTCCACTCCTTTCACTGTGGAGAATTGCTCGATGTCCAGAACATCCTTGCAGTAGATGGCCTGAGGCTAAACAGCACAAAGACTGTTCTAATGCCAGGCTCCACCTTGACCACCTCCAATAACTGTGGCTCGTGGCCAAGACCAAGCCTCTTCTCCCTGCAGCCCTGAGTATGCTGGACCCCTCTTTGCCAGGTTCCAGAAACAAGAGGGAAAGGATGGGCCTCATCTCCTCAGGTGAGCTGTGCCAGTGCTCCCACTTCCCTTGACAGAACCAGTGACTGAAAGGGTCAGGATAGAGACACGCACTTACATCTGGCTTGAAGGGAGGTTCCAGCATGCCTGCTTCCAGCCTCCTGAAGTTGAGGTGCTTGAAGAGAGGGTGTTCCTTCACTTCCTTAGCCCCAGCTCCTCGGCACCCAAGGCGCTCCAGAGGGTCTTTGCACAGGAGCTGCAACACAAAGTAAACAAGTGTCCCAGGTGAAGAGCACTCCATGCAGGAGCAGCCCTGGGTTCCTGCAGTAAGTCTCTGGGGGGACAGCATAGGCCTCTCAGGGAGCTGGGAATGAAGGCACTCTGGACCCTCCTGTGCTGCCTTATCAGAGACAAGGGAACCTGGCTGCCACCACTGCAGGGAGCAGCCAGGATGCTCTGCTGTGTACAAGGAGGGACTGGGATGCACTCGTACCATGGTGCAGAGGGAGCGGGCGCAGGGCGAGAACTTCTCCGAGTACTCCTCCTGCACTTCCTTCACCAACCGCTCCACCTCCTCCCGCTTGATCTTCTTCTTGCGCTGCTGGAAGGGGGACTGTCCCTCGATCATCTCGTACACCAGGCAGCCCAGAGCCCACCAGTCCGGGCTGAACGTGTAGCGCTCGTTCTTCACCACCTCCGGAGCTACATGGGAGCAGGTCAGGGATGTGTGAGGGCAGGGAGCGACTATGTGCAGTCAGAGGCCACTTTTGGATTAAACCAGGATCACTTACCCATGTAGCCAACTGTCCCCACCCGGCCCTTGATTGTTTGGCCCTCTGGCACATGCACAGCTAGTCCCAGGTCTGAGATGCGGATGTGACCTGCACAGAGGAAGGGGCAAGTTAACAGGACAAAGTCAGGGGGACAATGTTTGAAGCTGCCAAGAACACAGAGTAACCCTGGTTCAAGCAGAGGAGGAAAGAACTCAGGCCCAGGACTTCTCCTGACCCTGCACTCACCGTGGTCATCCAGTAATATGTTCTCTGGCTTCAGGTCCCTAGGAGGGAAGGGATTTGATTAGCAAGAAGCCTGCTGTCTAAGCAAAGGACACAAGCAACAGCCACATTTCAGCAAGTCCCAGATAAGCAGCAGTGGGATCCAATGCCCCTGCCTCGGGCACAAAGATAACCTTTCCCTCACCCTCTGCCCCAGAGCTGGCCCTGCAAGTTCTCCCCTCCTGGGCAGAGGTGACACATGACAACCTTCTTGTTATGTTCATGACAACCTTGAAGGAGCAGAGGCTTCTCTGCTTAACCTGCCCCAGGGCAAGGCAAAGGGTAGGAGCAGAAGAGGCTCCCTGGCCAGTGTTTAGCCATGCTATCCTAACACTGCATCACACAACCCTGTGAGTATAGTCAATATAGTCCATCAGCTTGTTCTCCCTCTGGCCCAGCTCCTGAGCCACTGGGGCAGCCTACCCTCCTTTGTTCTAGTGTCAATACTGCTCCAGGAGTTCAGTGCCTGCCCTGAGGCATTCACAACATGATCACATCCTGTTCTTGGCGATCATTTACCAGCACAAGGAAGCCAAGCTAAGCTCTCCCCTTCTCCCATGAGATCGGCTTTCTGTTCCCAATTCCTCTCACTCAGCTCTGTGCTGCTTTCAAGCCTGAGCTTATTTTCTTGAGCAGACAGATCCAGCTGGGCTGGTAAGAACAGCACGAAACCCTCTTGCTTCTGCAGCCCCTACAAGCTCTCCCAGCAGGGACCAGAGAGCACACACCTGTACACTATCCTCTCCTGGTGCAAGTCCTCGAGGCCACAGCAGATCTCAGCAGCATAGAAAGCTGCCCGGGGCTCCTCGAAGCCAGCCTCTCCCATGTGGTAGATATGGAACTTGAGGTCCCCTCCATTCATGAGGGTCAGCACTAGGCAGAGAGCATCTTTAGTTTCATATGCATAGGCTAAGCTCACCTGCAATTCAGGGCAGAAAGGCTGTTAGAAGACACAGCTGGAAGAGGGAGGTGCCCACACTCCCATGGGTACTTTGCCACCCAAGCAGCCACTCACGGGCTCAGGACTGGGCCTTTGCCAGCAGAGGAGGAACTGTGTAAACCCAGGGAGGATATGGCAGTGCCCAGCAGTCCCAGCACACCCCTGGCTTTCCTCAGACAGGGAGGACACTACTTCCCCCAGCCAGAGCTGCTCCCCTCCAGGGGCAGGCAGGACCCAACAGCAGTGCCAGGGCAGTGTCTGATGAACCCTCCGCAAAGGGAGGTTCAGGCTGTTCACACCTCAGTGCATCCAGGTAGAGCTCTCCACCACATAGCTCAGGGCTGGGCTTCTGCCCACCCTGCTCTCTGGAGAAACATCTCTCAGTTTTCTCGTGCCTCAGAGATCACAAAGGCCCCTGTCACACCAGATGGGTGTTTGGGGATGACTTTGGGAGCATTTACAGTATGTTGTGGATGCAGCAGGAGGTCCTGCCAGACTGCAGCCTTGTGAGAGACCTGCAGCCACCAGGCAGGGCCTGCTCCTGCCTCTCCACATTGGGGGAGGAACACAGAGGTGCCAGGCCAGTTGGTTGGAGGAAAAATCAACTACCGCAGCAAAGTGAGAGCAATTCCTATGTACTTACTACAAACCTACTGTTCACTTTTTCCAGGATCTGTTTTTCATTCAGGGCCATGGCTTCTCCCTTCCTCTTTTTGATCCGTTTCTTCTCCAGTTTCTTGCAGGCATACATCTTCCCTGTGGCACGCACTTGGCAGGCACAAACCTGGAGGGGGGACAAGGCTCAGCACCCTCCTGCTACCATTTCCAGGGTGGGGTCTAGGTTCTGCTCCCAACAAGAGGCACAGGAAGGTAAAGATGTTGCTATCCCCGCCTCACTCTGAGGTTAACAAGAAGCCCATTTAAACCGAGGACACAGGGAGCAGTGACAGCTCCAGATGTCACAGAGAAGCAGCAGAGAGCTCTGATGCCTCTAACACCTGGTGCCTGGGAAGACAGAAGGCCACTCCAGAAACAGGAGGCCTGACAGTGACAGATTTCAGGAGTGCGGTTTCCCCTGTCAAGACACGGGGAGCAGACCTGACCCTGCCCAGGCAGCAGCAGGCACCACAGGGCTCATGCTACTTACCCTGCACAACACTTCCCACCCCTCCAGCACCTGGTGAGAGGTGATCTCCTCCCCTCACTGGGGAAGGGGAGGGGAACTGACAGGTCACACAATGACCAGAACACAGCAGTACCCAGCACAGAGCCCCCACAGCCCACCCAGGCAGGTGCTGGAGCAGCCTATGGTACCCTGATGGCCAAGCCAGGCCTGCCTCTGGCAGCAGGCAACAGTGGCTGCCTGGGATCCCAAATGCAAAGGAAATGGTGGTCACTCACCTCCCCAAAACCGCCCTTACCCAACACACGGTACTGGCGGAAAGTGTTTTTGGTCACTGGCTGCCTGTGAGGGAAAGGAAAACAGAGTGAGACGGGAGCTGGGAGAGAGCAGGGGCTGAAGCCCAAACTGCCCTCACACTCTGGCCTGAGAGACTGTGGCTCACCCCAAACCTCAGACCCCTGCTCAAGCAGACCTTGCTTCCCTGTAAGGTAGGCAAGGCTGGGGCTGCTCATGGTGCATGTCCCTGAAGAACAGCAAAGGCCAGACCCTTGGCTCCTGCCAGGGTCCAGCAGGGGAAGGAGCACAAGGGACCCCTCAGGCAGCCTATGTGAGGAAGGTGCAAGTTTCCCAAAGCAGAGCGTTACCGTTCCAGCCATTTCCACTGCAGGAAGCGGTTGAAGTACAAGCTGTCGAGGTAGTCGGCAAAGGGAGCCACGCTCAGGTAGTCATGGATAAGCCTAGGAGAGAGCAGAGCCAACATGATTCCTGAGGGCTGATCACAGCCATGGAAAGAAACAGTAGCCCAAGGAAAGAGGAGGTGAACAGCCCCAAAAGCCTGTTTACTTTGCCATCCCCTCACCCAGCCTGGTGCTGAATTAACCCACATAGCCCTAGCCCAGAAAGCCCTCCCTCCATGCTCAGCCTGATGCAAAAGGAAGGCGCGTTGGAGGTACCACTGTAACAAACACAGCACCCTGGGACTGGGCTGGCACTGCTAATTGTGGCCTTCTGGCACCAGCCAGGGCTGCGGGACAAAGAGGGACAATGAGGTTCTGCAATTGCCCCTCTGCTCACAGGGCAATTGTACACGCAGGCTGTAATCAGCTGGTAGCAATGTTCAGCACCAGGCACTGAGTCGTTCACTATCAGATGAATATCCAGTACAAAAGGCCACAGGGGATCCTGCTGGAGAGAGCTAACTGCCTCACAGAGCCGTGCCAGGGCTGCGCAGCGGAGTGAGGAGCCTTAGACACAGCGTCTAGACTGGAGACACGCATCAAGGAGAAGCGGATGGGCTCTCCCCTTTCAGAGTTTGCCAAGAGCAGGCAGGGCCCAGCCCGGAGGCTCTGCATTCAGACATGACACTGGTTACCACACACGGAGCTAACGCTCCCCAGAAGGCTGCAGCAAACGCGTTGCCACAGCCCTGCACTCAGTTAGGCAACGTGCTCAGCTCCTGTGCAGGGAGGGGTGGAGGCCGTAAGCCTGGTTTACCCAACAGCTTCCGCTTTGCACCCAGAGCCAGGACCTTCTGCCATGGGAACAGAGATGACCTTAGTCCCCTGTAGGAGCAGCCAGCCTAACCCAACCACAACAGCCACATCTGCGGCCAGCAGGAGAGGACAGCTGGCACAGGACTGCAGCCATCAGCTCTGCTCGATGGGAGCCAAAGAGATCCTGGCACAATGCTGGCACTGCCTCATGCCGAAACAGGATCTTCCCAAATGGCAACTCCGACCCACGGCATGCTGAGAGGACTGATGGGTTTCTGCAGCAGCTTGTGGCTCTCAGAGCACAAGTTCCTTGTGCTCGCTTGCTTTCCTATTGCTGTGCTGCAAATTGCTTGCCCAAAACTCCCCAGGCTCCAGCCTTAGCACCAGCCCTCCCTCTCCCAGAGGAAGAGACCACAAGGGACAAGGTGAGACAGCTGCAACATCAACCTCATGCCATGTGTGACCTGTAGGCAGGCCCAGCCCTCCAACTCACTTAGTGCATTCCTTGAAAAGCTCCTTGGAAGGTTCCTGCTCCAGCCTCTCACAACAGGCATCCACCAGCTGCGAGGGAACTTCAGGCACATGGTCCTCACTCTGGGGACAAAGGGATGGAGTTACACATAGGGAGGAGAGCCCAAGGGTCCTGCCAGGAAAAAGCCCATGGGAACAGCACAAGGTGCCCATCTGCTTTAGGGTCAGTGCAGTGGCTTGGGAAGTGGTGGGGTGGCTCAGCATGTTGGCTGTGCCACAACATGGGCAATGATAGCTGTTGGCTCTCCAACTGCTCTACCCTTGCAGGCAGCAAACACAACCCTCTTACTCACATTTGGCTTCAAGTACTTTTCAATCAGGTCCTGCCCGCACTCCTTCCGCTTCTCATCTGGAGCCACTTCGTACCCTGCCTGCACAAAGCAAACAGCGTGAGCAGCAGGTCCAGCCAGGAACACAGCCTTGCTACTGGGCAACAGCTGCAGAGCAGCAACACCCTCTGCCCAAGGCTTCCCATGCTTTCCTCAAAAACCAGGTCTCCAGCAAACAACTCCCTAAGCAAAGGCCAAGCCCTCTCTTGGAGAAACAGAAATGCACAGGGTTTTTTTCCAGGAAAACCCTATGTGCCCAGAAGTACCTGGCAACTCCTGGAGCATCCAGAGCCAACCAGTTCACACCCAGGGTGCCAAGAACATCCCTGCCTCCCCCAGTGAAGAGTTCTGCCCTTACCACAGCATCCAGGAACTTGACGCAGCGGGACAGCTCCGGCCGCGTCTCGCAGAACTGCCGGAAGAGCATTTGCCCAATGGGCTGCTTCTCGCACAGGCTGTGGTAGTCCCGCTCTGCAAATGTGGAGGAGATCACTCACTGCCAAATCCCAAAGAAGCAGTCCCAGCCCACCACCCCAGCCAGGCAGTGGTGGGGGAATTGTTACCTGACAGGTCCCACCACCCTGAGACTCCCAGGAGAGTGAAATGTACCAAGTGGGACAAGGGATGTTACTGAGGTTTTACATTTCCCTATGGAAGACCCTCTTCCCTGAAAGAGGACTGACCTGTTGTTCTGTTCAACCTGCCCCTCTTGTTTGTAGCAAGGGACCTTTGTGTCTCTTGCTTGCCTGGAGGGTCTCTTCTCCTCTCTCCATAGAGATCAACTGACTACTCCAGACACACAACTTTCTTTGGAACACGATGAACACACCAAGCTTATTTCAAGGCAGATCTTCCAGGCAAGGAGTTGCTCTGATGACTCTTACAAACCACTGATATTCCCAAAGGCCCTGCTGGAAGCAGCAGCATCAAAATGGAAGGCATCAGCCCCACAGATGTCCTGTTGATGTGCACACAGCAATCAGACCTCTCCACTCCATGGCACAGCCACTTGCTTGTACATCAACTCCTACTGCCCTCTGGAGCTTGAGGATTCCTCCTACCCCTCTCTGAAGTCTGGCAGACCAGGCACAAACCCTTTTGACTATCCAGAGCATTTCCAGTTCTCTGTTTTTTTCCTCCCCTTCCACTCACAAGACATTGTCTGACCGTGGGCCAGAACACATTTCTGTGACAGCCACTGCCACTGAGGGCTGTGGGCTGCCTGGGGTGCAGATGTGCAGCCAGGGGACCCCAGCGCTGAGTACTCCAACCCTCTTCTCCCCATGCATCAGCTTCTCCCGAGGAAGCTGCAGCTTCCTGAGGGTGCAGGGGAATGCAGAGCCAGGCAGGCTGTGGTGGGGGAGGAGGTTGCTTTGCCAGCTCCACCACACCAGCCGGTTTCCTTGTGTCTGCAGGGGAAGGAGTTCCCTTCAGCTGGGGAGGACCAGAGTTTGCTGTCGGCAAGATCAGAAGCTTTTGGCTGCCCTGGTCGCTGCCCAGGCTCACACGAGGTTACTCCCTGTGGTCAGGGCACAAAAAGCTAAATTATGCAGCGGGCAACCAGCCCACCGTACCCACAGTCCTGCCAAGACTCTGGAATAGGAAAGAAATGCCTTTCTAGCAGGGTGTGAGGTGAAAAGAAAGACACCCTGGCCAAAAAGTGCCTAAGCACAAGGAACAGGGTCATCTCTCCCATGGGAAAACCAAGCAAAACAGCTGCCACCTGGGTCAGAGCACTTCTCATGTGCCTCTCCAAGGGGAAGTGAGACAGGGGTGGTGACAGCCAGGGGCTCAGAAGGACTCGCTTCCCAAATCTTCACAAGGTCACTGTCCCAGACAGCAGGACAGCAGAGACAGAGACCACCAACACTCACGGCTGGCAAATGGGTAAGGTTCAGTGCTGGAAAACATGTCATGACAGCCACAGGAAGGGTGGCTGCAGGCAGAGGAAGGACAAAAGCTGAAGGATAGCTCTGCTGAGGGCACACACATCAAAGAGGCAGGCGGGGTTTGGATGGTCAAGATGGGAGGTGTAAGGAGAGCCATGTTCAGCTCTCAGACCTTGCTCCAAAGAGGTAGCCAGCAGCAAATCCAAGGTGGGAGTCTCCATACAGCTACATCTGGTTGTGAATGTGGCCCTGAGAGGTGTGGCAGAGGGAGGTGGTGCACAGCCTGCACTGGGCTGCTGTGAGCTTGAGGTTACAGTGTGGATGAGGAAGGTTGAGTTACTCCAAGTACTACAGTCCCATGTGCCCCCAAAAGGAGTCATCCTTCTTCTTGGGGTTACCAGGACTTGGAAAACCTGGACAGGGCAGAATTGGGAATCCAAACCCACTCAGTTCAGTGACACTTGTTCAGAAACAGGGCCAGCGCTGTGCCACTCTCCAGCTGGCAGCTGAATCAGGACTAAAAACTTAAACAAGCTCTCTTCTTCCCTGGAAGCAGAGCATTCCCACCCTCTGTGCCCCAAAACAATTTCACAGGATCTCAGGACCAAGCCTGCTGCACAAACAACATTAAAACCATGAAGAGTACAAAGTACAGTATGAAAATGATAGGCCAAGCCCTGCCCAGCTCTACAGTTCTCACCCACAGCAAGAACCCAGTTTTGCCTGAGAAGAGCTGCTGCACCAGCGTTAGAAGTCGAGGTCTGTGGAGCAGAGCTGAATCCAGCCAGGGAGAACAGAGGATGGTAGCAGGACCTTTGTTATTTATGCAAAGCCACCCCAGGGCGACACTCCAAAACTCCGCAGCACCAAGCAGTCTGTTTGCACAGGGGTGATGTATCTCTAGTGACGCTCATCACAGTCTAGGAGGTGTGTGGGTACATCATCAGGCACTACCCTGCAAGCACAGCACAGCTGTGACTTACCTACCCATCATTTCTTCCCTACACCCTGAGCTCCAAGGAATCCTGGCTGGGATTTGCCCTGTTACAGGTCCCTCACACTCCTGGGTCTCCGTCAGGGGTGCACAACGCCCACAGACCCCCTCGCCCACCAGCGCCGGTGCCTCACCGAGGGTTTGCCGGAGATCCTCGCAGAGGCTGATGTGGGGGAACTGCAGCATCTGCCGCCATTTCTTGCTCTTGCCTTTCCGGTTTCCTCCACCACCTGGGGGGCACACAAAATCACACCGTGAGGTAGGAAGCAAAGGTGTCCCACTGCAGCCTCGCCGTGCTAGGGAAGGAGCCTCCCTCTGTCTGGGCAAGGAAAACAAGACCGAAGTGGTATCCTGGTGGGACAAGAGTGTTGGAGCCTCAATTGCCAGAGGAAATGGGCAGACCAGCCTCTGATTAAGAACATGAAGACCTTTCATGATGGGAAAACCACAGCAGGGGCAGGAGTGTCCACAGCCACAGGTTAGTCTGTGCCTCCAATGGAGTTCTTGGCTCCCAGGCCTGTCCTCAGCACCTCTGCATAACTGATCACCTCTCCAGGCCATGCCTTGCTTGGTGTGAAGCTCTTCCTGCTGCAGTAATGATGTTCATGCCACCTACTCATTCCAGACTGATTGCTTACTCCAGGGAGGGGCTCTTAGAGGGAGGACATGAAGCTGGGAGACAGGAATTCCTGCTCTAATCCTGGCTCCAGACAACTCGTTGGATTGCCTGGGGCTCATCACTTCAGTTTCCCACCTGTGAAGTGGGGACACTCCCACCTTTCTCCAGAGATAAGCCAGCCTCAGAAAATCCAGATCCAAGAACCAGGTATTATTCCAGCTTCAGTTGCTGGAGTAAATGCCCAGTGCTGTAGGACAGGGTGGGAAAGTTCCTAGATAGACCAAAAAATTTACATCAGAGCAATCATTAAATACTGAAATACTGATTGCTGAGATCAGCCAAGCTCCAGGGATTGCTTTCCCCCCTGTCCCAGTGCCAACACACACACAATTTCCCACCTCCCCTTGGAAAAACATTAAACCACCCTGCCAAAGTGGTCGGGCAACCAGAGTTGGGCCGAAGGCCGGGCTTTCTGAAATCGTGGAGGGGGTTGAACATAATTTATCAGCTCTTGAGAAACACTTTCATTACACTTTCCTCCACTGCAGAAGCAATTCAGTCCCAGACCCTAGACACAGTCCCCTGGTATCCAGCTCCCTGTGCCGCAGGAGGCCCAGCGTGGACAGGCAGGTGGGATGGGGCCATCCCAGCCAGCCTGGAGTGGGGCCAGCCCCAGGTTCAGGCCCCTGGCACACTGAGCGCTGCATCTGCCCCGCACCAGCAGCTGGGCTGCACGATTGTACAAACTCAGGAAGGAAGTGACTCAAGGGTAAGCAGGGCTGGAAGAAACCAGCGGCGCAGACACCTTCTCGTCAGCCCCAGCCCGCGACAATGGAGCGGATGGGGACAGTGGAACGAGGGCAGGGGAGGACAGGCCACCCTCGCCCCAAGACAGCTCAAGGAGAGGCAGAGCAGAGCCCCACAGCACCCGGAGGTTGCATTTCCTTGAGTTGTTTGCTTTGAAAGGAGGCTCCAGCGCCCTTCGTGCGTGGTTCTCCCCCGCCCTACCGGCTGATGGCCCAGCAGGGAACTGTGCTCCTGCACCCCAACTCCCCAGAACCCCCGCTCTGGGGATGGGGCAAGGGTGAGCTGCCTCCACCCAGAGCTCACCACAAGGGAGCTCCAGGGCTTGGTAATGGATGAGAGCTGGTCTTGTCTCTCTGGCAGAGGGCAAGGGCAACAAAGGGAGAAGGATCTTTAACCTTCCCTGGGCCAACCCAAACCTGGGGCATGGTCATGCTGTGGCAGCAACTGAAAATGGTTGTCAGCAGCCCCCCAGCACGTCACAACTCAGCCCTGCACTCCCACACCAGACTAGGAAGCTCCAAAAAGGCTGGGCTGGAATAGAGGACCCAGCGCTGTCGGATGTGGCCAGCAAAGTGTCTGTGTCCTGCCACAGAGGCTGTCAGAGATCGCCCCAGTGGCCACCACAGCCACCCAGCCACAGGTGGGAGGGCCATGGACAGGCAGCATGGCCACCTACGGTTCTCACAGCCCAGGAACTGCCGGGCAGAGCGTGATGAGGAGCTGTTTCTGCCTGCAAACTGCCCACTGCTGCCGAGAGAGAGGCACCAAAGGGGCACCAGGAGGGATCACAGCAACCATTGGGCATCTTATGCTGCATCAGCGCCCAAACTCTGTTCTCCAAGGGCAAAACAGGAGCCAGTCTCCAGGTCACTCCGTGTGGAGCTGGGCCTTCTGCCTGGAGGTCACCAATGCTGCTGTTTGAGTTTAAACCAAACTCTGCCATCATGAACCTGAACATCACGGTCACTGTGCCACAAGTGCTTACGCTGAGCCCAGTTTTCAAGCAGCTCAGAAATGCTCCTGCCCATGCAAATTTAATTTCGCTGCTCTTTGCTCCCACCAAATCTAATCTCCAAAGCCCTGTAACTGGATTTCAGTGGGTCTCCCAGGCTCCAGGACGGCTCAGTCTGGCCAAGGGGGGACTGCACTTCCCCACCACTGTGATCTAATGAACTCCTCGAGGCCTGGCTGAGGCAGATCTTCTCTGCACAGGACCAGGTTCCTGTGTGACACTTCCCACCCCTTCCTGAGGCTCCTCCACGCAGCTCCCCTGCACTTTTACAAGCCTGAAATCAACTTTTTTTTTTTTTCTTTCCTCCTCCAACACCCAAAGCCGCCTCTCCCCCTGCGCCAGAGGGGCAGGAGCAGCCTCTGGAAGGGGCAAGACGGGGGTGAAGACGGGGAGGTTTGAACACGGAGAGGCAGTGGGGCGGCCCGAGAAGGGGCCCAGCACCCCCAGAGGGAGCTCAGCACCCCTTGGAGTTCAGCGCCCCACAAGGAGCTCAGCACCCCCAGATAGAGCTCAGCACCCCCAGAAGGAGCTCAGCACCCCCAGATGGAGCTCAGCACCCCCAGAAGGAGCTCAGCACCCCTGGGAGTGAGCTCAGCACCCCCAGAAGGAGCTCAGCACCCCCAGATGGAGCTCAGCACCCCCAGAAGGAGCTCAGCACCCCTGGGAGTGAGCTCAGCACTCCCGGAAGGGGCTCAGCACCGGGCGCCGGGCAACCTCCGCGGCGGACGTGGGGAGCCGAATGCCCGGTGGCGGCCGTTACCTCCGTTACCTCCGTTACCGGCCTGCGCCGGCCCCTCCCCGCTCCCCTGCAAGGCCGCGATGCCCCGGGAGGGACCGCCCGGGCCGAGCCCGGGGAATCGGGGGGGCGGCACCGCACGGCCACAGCCCGGGCCTGCCGCCCTGCGGGCCCCCGGCGCCGCCGGCGCTCACCTTCGCGGGCCTTGAGCAGGACGGTGTTGGCGACGATGTTCTCCAGCTCCATGGGCCCGGCGGCGGCTCCGGCCCCGGCCCCGGCCCCGGCCCGCTGCCCGCGCCCGCCGCCCCCGCCCGCCCCGCCGGCCCCGCCCCCCGCGCTCGGCCCGCCAATCCCCGGCCACGCTCCTCCCGCGCCGCCCTCCCGTTGGCCCCGCGGGCTGCGGGTGGGCGGGGCGGGGCCAGGGGAGCGCGCGGCCATTGGCGGAGCGCTGCAGGGAAGTGGAGGCGGGCGCTGATTGGAGAGGGAGGTGTCACTCAGGGGGAACCGGGAGCGGATTGGGTTAGAGGCACTGGCACCCGCCACGGGGGAGACCCGCCTCTTGCTGCATCTGATTGGTGAATGATCTGCCACTCAGCTGCAGAGTGGGCTGTGATAGGGTGTTCAGTGGGGGCGGGGCCGAGAGGCTTTTTATGATGATCACTGGGGCTGTCCCGGGTCCTAGTGCCCCTCGTCCGCCCGCAGGGACGGTCCTGTCGCTCACACGGGTCTCTGCGGTGTCCTGTGCCCTCCTCACAGAACCAGTTGCGTGTTTAGGGGCGCCTTCCCGCTCTTAGTAGACGGGCAGTTTGCTTCAATAAAGTCCGAGCGTGTGCCCGGTGTTGGTTAACCCCGGCGTCAGGGCGTGGGTGACCTGAGCTCCGGTGCTGTGCCCGGTCTCCCCGGTCACCGCTGCCGTGGAGGTCTGGGTTTTCCTCATCCCCCAGTGCAGTCTCTGTTTGCTGGGAACGAGCCCGTTCTGGTGTTTGAGCTCCCACCGGCTTCTCCCCACCCATGATTTGCTCCAAAAGCCTTTTTTTTTTTTTTTTTTTAATGGTACTTTAATGAGCAGCAGCGTGACCACGTCTGAGGAGAAGCTGCGGTGAGGGAACTTCTCCCCTGATCCCCAGCAAGCAAGTCCTTGTTTTCCCTGCAGAGCTGGCTCGTACTCGAGCTCCCCTCGATGACCTGTCAGCCCTGCAGGTGACCTGCCCACCTCCCTGCCCCTCCACGGTGTAAAACGGCTCGTTGATCCTCTTAATCGAGTGGTGTCTGCCCTGCTTTGTGCTCCTTCTGGCTTCCGAGCGAGGACGTCATCTCTGCCTTCCCACGGCCCCTGTCACTTGCTCCAGCCCACGGGTGATGTCTCCGTCCTGCCCTCCCTGCGAGTTTGGAGGTGCCCAGGGCATGGAGGAGAACACGGTGATGGGCAGGTCCCTCCATGGTCTCTATAAATGGCAGCCCAGGCCCCCAGGCTCTGCTCCCTGAGCAGGAGCAAAGGGTTTCTGTCCTCGGGCTGTAGCAAGGTTGATAATAACACAAATTACATCAAGCACTCATTGTCCGTGCAGATGATACTGCCTGTGGTCCCCTTCAGCATCCACTGGAAATCAGGCATGACATCTTCTGGTTACCAGCCTGCAGTGATTATGAGGAGGAGAAGGAGGAGGAGGAGGAGGATGCTGCTTGCCCTGCCACACCTTGGAGGTGATCTCCCTGTCACTCTGCCTGGAGGGATGAGCTCATGCTGTGAGCTTTCCTCTTTTAGAGCTGCTTTCCTCTCAAAGTGGCACATGCTTATTTTGAACTTCAAAAGGAATGACTTTGTTTTCATCCATTTCCATGATTAACCCTTGTGTTGCTATTTTCTGTTTCCTCCCAGCTGATGTTTTACAGCACCACCACCGACAGGAGTCATGAGCCAAAGGGCACTGCCAGAGCAGCACCAGCGTCCAGGGAATCTTGATGTCCCCAACAGAGCAGAGGCGGCCGAGGTGGTAGAACTAGCACTCTCCTTTTTAGCTCTGTGGAGGGAACATGCCTGGAGAGGGAGAGGGCTCTGAACCCAAGCTTGCTGGGGAGTAATTCAAAATAATCTTTGGAAATTGAAGAAACAGCCTGAAAACGCAGGATGCAATTCCAGGCACAGGTGCTGCACTTGGGCAGCAGCAATCAGCACTCGGAGGGGAGCTGCTTTCCTGGTGGTGCTGGGGTCATGACAGCTCACAAGCACAGCAGTAATAAGGGTCATGCTGTGGCAGATGAAACAGACTTTGCAAGCTTAGAATGGAAATGTCTGCTGCAGAGAGACGGAGGGATCTGGTCAACCCTATGCAGAGGGGATGATGTGCTGAATGAGGATACGGCAGGGGATGCTTGGTGAGGGAACTCTTCCTGAACACCCCAAGTAGCACCTGGGGGTAAGAGGGGGACCAGGTGCTCCCACACCCCATCCAGCTCTCAGGATTTGATGTTTTGCACATCACCTTCAGTCGCTTGTTCTGCACATCACCTTCAGTTGCTTGCATGTTGCCCTGATGTGCAGGTGAGGCCTTGCCCAAGCAGGGAGGTCCCTGAGTGCCCCCACTCCAGCTGGTCCCTGGCCTCTCCTGCCCTGTGGCATCCCAGAGCCATGTGCTCATGCCCAGGAGGAGGGACAATGCCTGGTGTCCTGCCCAGGGTGTATGGCCAGGGCAGTGTGGGGCCCCAGGGTGCTGCCCATGGGGCTGGTGCTCCTCTGAGCTGGCCTGGCTGGGTCCCCACCAGTCACCCTCATCTCCCGGTTATTTTTAGAAGCAAAGTGCTGTTTAATTGTAAAAGGCAGCCGCGGGAGGGGAAGCCGGGCGGCAGCGATAGGGCAGCTCCTTCCGCAGGCAGTGCCAGTGCAGCTCCAGTTGCCTCCGGGGCTCAGCGCCGGGCCCCATCCCAGCCCGATTCCTCTGGGAACCTCCGCTGGCTCCAAAGCTCACACCATGAGCCTCCACACATGGGGCCAGCAGGCGCAGGGAATGGCCCAGGGATCCTTGCCACAGCCAGTACCCCCATCCCGCTCAGCCCCCTCGTGCTCCACAGCGAAGCTGTGCTCACCCCAGCGGGGGCCAGCAGGGGCTGGTGGGGACCAGTGTTCCCTGGGCTCCAGCTCCCAGGCGCCAGTGGCTGTTTTTAGCTGAGTTCAAGTCCAATGTTTTGAGATTTTCTATTTTGAGCAGCAAAGCTGAAGAAGTAGAGCAGCCCCTGACCCCCGGCTGTCTGTGCAGAGCGGGGCAGGGAGCCAGGCAAGGCGGGTGTGGGGTGGCTTCTGCCCTTGGGGGAATGTGGTTGTCCCTGGGTCTTCGCCCCACAGCTGCCTTCGTGGCCTCTTGCACGTCAGGCTGTGCTGGAGCCTGTTCCCGTGTGATCCCATCTCCCACACTCTCCCAAGGGAGGCTGGCCTTTCCGGCACTGAGATACCATTCCTCCTATCCCTCCTGCAGCAAGATCCCAGTGAGCAGCATGTGTTGTGTCCCGCTCCAGACCCACGCCCCTTGTACCCCACCATGGGTACACGTGTGCCCCCACAGAGCTCCTATTACATGGCACAGCTGGAATGTCCCCAGGGGACACAGCCCTGGCAGAGAGGCACAGGGCTCAGAATGGGCTGCTGTGGTGGCACAGCCAGTTCAGCCCAGTGCTGGTCACGCTGCCACATGGAGGGTTTCATCCCCCTGCAGCATCTATGGGGCCCATCCCCTGCTCAAGAGGATGCTGGAGGACACGCCTGGCAGTAGGGAGGTTTGGTACTCACCAGAGCTGCCACAGTGAGTTGTCACCACCAGTGTTACCAGGGGTACAGGTGGGGTGATCCATGTGACAATTGGTGCCATTTACTGGGCTCCCAGCAGGCAGACACCAACTCCGGGCACAGGCTTTGGTCTCGTTTTATTCAATCCCGCATCTCCAGAACCACCTCAATCTGCGCACTGGCACTGCTGTCCGGAGTCTGTGGTGAGGCCGGGTGCTGCCAATGGTTAGAGAGGCTGGGGCCACGTCCCCAGTTTCCCAGCAGGTCCTCAGGTGCGGGGCCGGCGTGGGATGCTGAGGAGCCTTCGGAAGGCGGCACGGAAGTCCCGGTTGAAGAGGGTGTAGATGAGGGGGTTGAGGCTGCTGTTGCAGTAGCCGATCCAGAAGAAGAAGTTGAAGAGGGGCTTGGAGACGTGGCAGCCCTCCCCACAGACAGCCCCCAGGCTGTAGGTGAAGAAGAAAGGGAACCAGCACAGCACGAAGGTCCCCATCACCACGGCCAGCACGATGGTGAAGCGCCGCTCCCGTGCCCGCACCAGCCGCCGCCGGCAGAGCAACACGCTCTGGTGCTGGCTCCGGCACCGCCACCGTGGCATCCCAACACCTGACACCTTTCCACTGCTGGCAGGGCGCGGGGAGCGGGCGGCGAGGAGGGCGGCCGTGCGCTGGGCAGTCAGGCGGTAGATGCGGCAGTAGACGGCGACCATGACGAGGCAGGGGATGAAGAAGGAGGCGGCACAGGAGGCCAGCACGTACCAGGTCTCCTGGCTCAGCTGGCACTCCCGGCCCCCTGGCCGTGGTCGCAGGAGTGGCGGCAGTGCCACCAGGGCCGCTGATGCCCAGACTGCCCCGATCATGCCCTTCACCCGCCGCGGGCTGCGGCGCAGGTTGAGCCGTGCTGCCCGTGTGACGGCCCAGTAGCGGTCGAGGCTGATGGCACAGAGGTGCCCGATGGACGCGGTGCAGAGCAGCACGTCCAGCGCCAGGTACAGGCTGCACCACAGCCCGCCGAAGTACCAGTAGCCCATCACCTCGTTGGCCAGCGAGAAGGGCAGGACGAGGACAGCCACCAGGATGTCTGCCAAGGCCAGGGACACTAGGAAGAGGTTCTGTGGAGCCCGCAGAGCCCGGCTGGTGGAGATGGCCACCACCACCAGCGCATTGCCCACCAGCGTGGCCAACAGGACGGCCAGGGCAGCCAGCAGGATGAGCCCTGTGGCTGTGGGCGAGTGTGGGGCACTGCCGGTGCCGGTGCCGCTGCTGCTGCTGTTACCGGAGGTGTTGGAAAGGGCGCTGGCTGCCTCCATGCTGGTCTGGCCCTTCAGGCAGACAGGGCCTCATGGGGTGTCCCTCCAGCCCACTCACCGGACCCACGGTGGATGTGGGCGCAGCCCCAGCATTGCTGTGCTCCCAGGGGAGTGTCCCGGCTGCCACTGCTCCTGCACTGACCTGATCTGGTGGCGAGGCAGAGGCTGTTCTGGCCCAGTGGTGGCCCGGCCAGGCATGTGGGATGGCCGCGGTTCCCGGAACACAGAGAGGCTCCCACGGCAGCGCTGCTGGCTCTGTTGGTCCCAGTATGGGAGGAGGGCGGGCGGGAAGGAGGGAGGGAGGGAGGGCTGATATCACTGGCAGGAGCCCAAACATCTGTGGGCAGTGGGAGAAGTTGTTATTGCCAACACTTAAAGGGCTCCCTCCAGGGTCACTGTGGAAGGAGGGCTTCTGCCATGGGTGCCAGGGTGCCAGGTAGACCAGGAGCACTGCCCAGCCGTGCTGGGTTGACATCCTGTTGACTCCCAGCCCAGCAGCACTGCAGCACCTCACTGCCTGCCCCGTTCTGTGCCTCACTCAGTGGCACATGCTGCTGTGGCACACAGTGAGCCACCATGGACCATGGCAACTCAGCCCTCTGGAGACAAGGTGAGTGGAAGAAGCTGCCTGTGACACACCTCTGAGAAGCTGTCTGCAGAGTGCAGGGTTTAGCTGTGGCACCCTCAGCATGTGCCCCACAGCACCAGCAGCATGTTTGGTGTACCCCAGCACTGGCACTCACCTGGGCCAGGCTGAGCAGTGATAGTGTGTTGAAAAGGGGGAGGATGATAGGTGTCTGGCACCTGTGGCTGCAGCTGGACTTCCACAGGGTTTGCAGAAGCAGGAGCCAAGGAGACACACCCCAGGGCATGGACACTCGACCTTTATTGAACATCAGCTGAGCAGGGATGTTAGAAACCGGCGGCCACGGGAGCAGGAGCCCAGGTGTGTGGTACCAGCTAGAGCCGGGTGGCACCATGCGGGAGCGGGCGAGGGGAGCCCACCCGGATGGTGGGGCTGGGCATCTCCTCGGGGTAGGAGAGCACGGGGTTGTCCAGCCCCAGCCTGGCCTTGTCCCGGGGAGGGCCCTCATGCTCCTCCCAGCCCTCAGGGCTGCGGCAGCGGTCAGTGCAGCAGAGAGTGGCCTGGGTGATGACTCGGTCGAGGGGCTGCAGCGAGTGCATCCAGGTGGGGAGGAAGTCCCAGGTCTGCAGCCATTTGGGCAGGCGGCCAGGGCTGTGTGCCTGCAGAGCATTCACCAGCCCCACGAAGAAGAGGAGGCCGAGGAAGGGTGCACCCACCCCCACCAGTGCCCGCCAGCCCGCCATGGAGATGCCGAAGATGAGGGAGGGCAGCAGGAGGAAGCAGATGATGAGGTACAGCACGGCAAACCAGCGGTACTTGGCCGTGCGCTCACCCAGCGCCTTGGCCATGCGGATGGGCAGGCGGGTGAAGGGCAGTGGGTACCACAGCAGGATGCCAGAGATGTTGAAGAAGAAGTGGCAGAGAGCAATCTGTAGGAATAGCATCCTGGTTGGGCTGGGCACATGGGCATCCCCCAGCCCCTGTCTTGCCTGGTGCCCTCAGCCAGCGCAGCTGTGGTCCTGGGCTGCATGTACCTGGAAGGAACTGGCCAGCTTATCCCCTGGGCTGGCCAGGGCGGCCAGGATGGCGGTGGTGGTGGTACCAATGTTGGAACCCAGGGTCAGTGGGTAGGCACGCTCAAGGCTGATCACTCCCAAACCTGTGGGAGAGGCACCCCATTGTGTCCCCTTGTTCCTCACCAGAGCCAGCCACCGTTCTCCCAAGGAGGCACAGTTCCTCCCATCCCTCTGAGTGCCATAGCACCCACAGGCCATCACAGCAGGGACCAGCACTTGGCAGGGGACCAGGCATAGCTGGGACTCACCAATCAGGGGTGTGATCGCTGACGTGAAGACAGAGCTGCTCTGCACCACGAAGGTCATCCCAGCACCCACCACCATGGCGAAGTACCCAGTGAGCCAGCTGAGAGGGTGTGGGAGATCTGCCACAGCATGGCCATGGGCATGGGCGTGGACACAAACATGGACATGGGCATGGACACACCAGTTAGGAGCAGCCCAGAGCTCCTGCATGGTGCTGGGGAGAGGCTGTGGGACCAGGCTCTAGGTATGGGGTTAGGCTTGGGTATGGGGCCAGCCCAGAGATTGGGATGATGGGGAAAAGAGGAAAGGGACACCCAGAGGCCATGACAGCCATAAGCAGAGTGAGGATCAGGGACAGGCAGGGGACATGTGGGACAGGCAGGGAGGGGGGGCAAGGACAGTCAGGCATAGGTCTGAGGATGGCAGATAGGAATGGGGATGGGTGCCCCTGTGGCAGATGGTCCCTGTCCTACTCACCAGTGTTGATGACCTTCTGGATGGCTTTGGCCACCTGCCCCTTGAGCAGGGAGTTGAGGAGTTTGACCAGGAGGATGAGGCAGGTGCAGAGCACGACGAGGGACCCGGCCAGCAGCACCAGCCCCACGGCCAGGTCGGGCAGTGGTGTGTCGGTGAAGAGGTGCTCACCTGCCCCACAGCATGGCTGGGCGAGGGGCTGGGGCTGGCCCGGCCCCGCTCACACACCTGCCCCCGCAGATAGCCCCACACCTGGACCCCAGCCCCAAAATCTCCCAGCCCTGCCCAACATCATGAAGCCAGCACCACTCCACCCCACATACAGCCCCCCAGCCCTGCCTGCATCTCCCCAGCCCCATGTCCTGTACCCCAGCCCTGCCCAAGCTCCCCACACCCACTCACACTTCTGCCTGGTGACGTTGTGGAGGATCTCGATGCCTTTAGTGCTGCAGTGGCCAGGGGCTGTGCAGTTTGGGGGGGGCCCAAGCCCCACAGCAGCCATCTGCAGGGAGAGGGTGAGCTGCAGCTGTCTCTACAGTATCCTCAGCCAGCCCCTGCCCACCCCCTCCTCCATGGGATTGTTTTGTGGCCCCAGCAGGGCCAGAGGCCCCTCACCTGTGGGGATGCAGGGCCACACCAAACACGGATGAGGCTCCGGTTGCGCAGGCTCTCGTCCCCTGTTGCAATGCCAGTGATCACCGACTTGTCCAGCTGCAACAACAGACATTGGTGAGGGCCCTTGGGAGCTAACAGCACTCAGAGCTCGGGGATATCTTCACTGGGATTGGGACACCATTGCCAGCTTGGGGACACTTGGTTACAGCCACCATCAAAGGGACACCAGTGCTGGGGTACCACCACCAGCCTCGGGACACCACGCTGGCAAACACAACAGCTGAGGAGACCTGGATGATGAGCTTGGTGAAAGGCTCTGTGATGATCTTCAGCAGGTCAGGGGCATCCTTCCCACTGCGGATGTTGAAGGTGGCCACGACCAGGCGGGTGACGTGGTGCAGGTACCCACTCACCACCTCCAGTGGCAGCAGGACCAGCACTGACAGCCAGTTGAAGCAGTCATGCACCGTGGCACCAGCAAAGGCTCTGTTGGAGTAGAGGAGCCCATTGGCATGGGTTGGCCCTGGGGAGCAGCCCCCAGCCCCCCAAGTGTCCCCTGACCCAAGCAACTCTCACCGTTTGAACTCACTGCGGTCACCAGCCTGCATGAGGGCCACGATGGTGTTGGTGACGGAGGTGCCGATGTTGGAGCCCATGATGATGGGGATGGCAGAGCGCACCTCCAGCACTGGGGACAGAGAGACCCTGTGCCTCGCATGTCTTGGCTCAGGGTTACCCCATCCAGCCACCCTGTCCCCCAGCCTCAGGTCCCCAGGAACCTTGTGGCACACTCACACCCTGAGGAGACCATGCTGACGATGATGGAGGTGGAGGTGGAGGAGCTCTGCACCAGCACAGTTACCAGGATGCCCACCACCAGCCCAGCCACTGGGTTGGAGAGGATGGCATTGTCCTTGAAGATGTCCCCTGCCACCTTGCCTGCAACAGAATGTGAACAGCAGGCTGCTGGCACTGCAGGTGCCACCAGACTCCCAGGAGTCCCTGCCACCCTACTACCTCCAGCCAACTGGAAGGCAGAGCTAAGCACATCCAGGGAGCACACGAAGAGGTACAGGAAGCCAAACATCAGGGGCACCTTGAGAAGGGAGACACAGATGGACTGGACCCTGGCCCAGCACCCGAGCTCTGTGCAAGACAAGAGAGAATGTTAAATGCCTGCTGTGGCATGGCCCTGGCTCCTTGGGCTCCTGCAGCCCTAAACCATCCTCCTGGCCCCCAGCAGCACAGGGCTCATGTCCCCAGCTATGCCACCACTCCTGGGGTCTCCTCTCAGCCTGGAGTGCCTTGTGCCAACTGCTTCTGTTGTCCCTCAGCTCTTCCCACATCACCCCAGAGAGCTGAGTGTTGCCCCACACTCCTCTCCCCATCTTGGCACCCCACACTCCTGGCACTCCAAGCTCCCCTGGGTGCCTTCAGCAGGTCTCTGGGGTGTTCCCCACCCAGGTGCTCTACACTCACCACTCATAGGGTCTCACCTGGCTTCTGCAGCTCCTCCAAGACCAGCCGGGGCCCCTGCCAGGGCAGTGCATCCAGCTCGTAGCGCTCCCTGCCCTCGCGCAGGCTCCCCGGGGAGCCGGGGCAGGGGAAGCCATGGTCAGGGCAAGTCACAGGACCAACGGTGAAGGGGCAGGTGTGGGCACCTGGCAGCCGGTGCAGAGCTGGGGAGAGAGGTCACCCACATTACAGCCCCCTCCTTGTGGTAAGCCCCCTGCAGAGAAGAGCCCAGCACCGCCTGGGCCAGGATCTGGCCAGAAGCAGAGATGAGCCTGGTGAGGTGAGGAAGAGGAGGAGAAAGGCTGAGGGCACTTACCTTGGGGGCTGGGGCAGTAGGCAAACTGGGGCCCATGAACCACCCTTCCTCCCCGCACCGGGCAGTGGGGCAGGACCGGGCTCTCCCTCCGGTAGGGCAGCATCGCTCCTGTTGAGGCTGAGCAGAGGTGGCCATGTGTCACCATGGCTGTGCTACACCGACTGCCACATCCCCCCAAACCCTGCACCGACTGCCACATCCCCCCGAAACCCCCTGGCACCACTGAGGAGCACCATCCCATCACTCGATGGTCCCCTGGGCCACCAGCCACTGCTGTACCACCCCAGCGATCTCCCAGGGGATATGGGAAGGGGACTCCTCCTGCCCAGGGCCCAGCTCACCTGAGGCTGGCTGGGCACTCAGGGCAGAGCCGTGTCCACATGCCGCATCCACGCGTCCCTCCAGCCAAGTGGCCCGTGGGGCACCACGGCCCTTTATACACACGCCAAGAGCAAAGTCTAAGGAGCCCCGTGTTGCCCCTCGCCTCCGCTCGCTGCTCACCTCCTCCCCAGAAATTCCTGCAGTTAATGGGTAACCTCTCCGCATCCCACGTCCTCCGCGGCCCTGGAGCGGGATGGTGCACGCGGCCCTGGGGTACCCGGCACTCCCTGCCTCGCCTGCCCGAAGCCCAGGCAAGTGGCAGCTGCTGCAGTGAGGAGCAAACCTGGGGCAGTGCTGGAGCCCAGTGCCCACGGGGTGATGCTGGAGCACCCTCAGCTCTCCGTCTTTTGGTGCCAGGTGCTTCATCCACTGCATGAGAAGAGGAGAAGGAGGAGAAGGGCTTGGTACTAGCACTACCAGGGCATCCCAAACCAGAGTTGAGCCCAGCACGCATCCACCATCCTCAGAGCCATCGGAGCATCAGCCCAGCGCAGGACGTCCTCGCCCTCAGGGCACTGGTGGTGCGTGACGTCAACACCGGAGCGATCCCCGTGTCCTGTCACTGGTGTGATGGTGGCACGCAGCCCGGCTCAGACCGGCAGCGCTTCAAGGGCTGCGTGAGGCAGAGCATCTTCCTGGCATGTCTGATGCCAGGGTGGGCAGGAGCGGAGCGACACCACCACTGCCGTCACCACCTCCTCCACGCTGTTTATCATTACCTGCTGCTTATGCACCTCTAGCCAAGTTTCCATCCACCCACAGGACACCCAGCTGGCTCATGTCCACATCTGTCTGCAGGAGAGACAGGGCACAAATGTCCCTCCAGCCCCAGTGCCTGTGGGAGTAGGCACAGAGAGACCACACGGCTGCCACAGCCCCATTTCCCCAGGATCAGGCACTCCCAGGACCCATCACCACGGACTAGCCAGGTGCAATTATATGGAAGGAGCAAGGGAAGATTCCTTGAGTACTCCAGGGCACTCAGGGACAGGCTGGAGACATTTCTGCCATTCCTGGAGCATCAATGAGCCTCCTCCACTGAATCACAGACTGATGGAGCTGAATGCCCAGGAAGAGCCACGGTAGGGGACATGCCCTTCCTCTGCAGGGCCTGGGGACTCTTCTGCCCAGGGGGTGCAGCCAGTGGGCAGGATGCTGGTGTCCGCACTTGCCCCATGCCCGGGGGCTCTTGGCCAGCTGCCCCCACAATCATTAACCTGGTGAGGCTCTGGCAGCTCTGGTTGTCACTTATTGACAGGGTTGGGGCTGAAGTCCTTGGCCGTGCCGGCCCTGCAGCTTCCCCTACTCCGTCAGCAGTGTTGGGAAAACAGGCTCCTGGCACTGCCCCTTGCTGCCAGTCAAGGTGGCACTGAAGTTGAGGGCTGGCCCAAGCTCTGCCCTGGTCCCAGGAGGGTTCTGTGGGGTACAGGAGGGTTAGAGGGACATTGCTGCTGGGAAAGCACCATCTGGCCTCAGCCAAGAGTAAGGAAAGGAAAGCGCATCCAGGCAATGCTCTTTATTTCCCCCGGTTTCACACCACAGACAGCACTAAGCAGCACCACGGAGACACAGGGGGGCTCTGACCAGGGCCGTGGGGCCACAGATAGCTGTGGCACCATGGGGCTGAGTGGCCGTGCCCCCATCCCTGGGCAAGCCTGGGGGCCCTGGGCAACCCTTCTGCTTCTGGCCAGACAGTGGTGATGGAGTGGTTACCCAAGGCACAGCCAAGAAGGGTCCTGGCACACACGGATGGTGGGGGGATCTCCTGGCTGCTGCTGGGGGGTTGTCTCTGTTGCAGACTGTGTCTGAAATCACTGGGGACACCAGGCTGCTGGGCATGGGGACCTGCAGGGCACAGCCAGGACTGGCAGAGCCGGGCTCAAGGCTACAGCCCAGCACAACTATTGTCAAGAATGACAGGGTGGGCACATGCTGGTCACCTGCACACCAGGCTGAGGTGCTCAGCACCCAGGGATGATGCATTCCTCAGGCACCAGGCAGACCTGTCCTGGAGGCTGAGTACTCTCAGCCCCGGCTGGGATGGGGCAGGGGATCTATGGGGATTTGCTCCTGCAGGTCGCTTCAGCAGCCACCCACACAGAGTCTCTGGCAGGGAGGAGGGAGGCTTTTTTGGCACAACCTTCTGGCTCTGCCTCTGTCTGCCCAGGGTAGGAACCATATGCCCTGCTCCACAGCAGAGCTACTGTGGCAGGATCAGGCCATACTCAGGCAATGCAGACAGTATCAGCCTGTCCAGGACACAGGTTGGCAGGACCATGCTCATCCTCTCCCAGAAGGGTGGACTCACTTATGAACGGGACAGCCCTGTTTCCACAGGGCCAGGGACTGGATTGGACTCCCAGCTCCAGGTTCATGTTATCCTGACCCTGCCTGCCCCTAAACCAGAGTTCAGGCCTGGAGCCTGCCTTGCCGCTCCACCCACTGTCTCTATCCTACACACCCTTCAGCTGGAAGGGTGCTTTCCCCACCCAAATGGTGAGTGGGGCTGTGGCATCCCGGCACAGGCAGGATGTGCTGGGCAGGCAGCTCTGCCACAGGCAGAGGCACTGGGCAGGACAGTGCCAGGCATGCACAGAATGTTGCAAAGTGCTTTGCAATGGGGATTCAAACTATGTACAGGACTCCCTTGGCGTGCACCGGGATGTGACCCCACGGAGGGGCATGGCAGCTGCTCAGCCACTCACAGAGACACGACACAATAGTTTGGGATGGGACAGGATGAATCTGTGGTCCAGGCAGTGTCGGCGGTGCAGGGCAGGGGCTGGTCAGACCCCATGTTGAACCCTGGCATGGCCTGAGGGACCACACATCGGGTGTGGATGTGCAGCAGGACTCGTCAGAACTTGTGGTCGAATGAAGGTTGAGCCAGTGCAGGCTCTGCAGGCTGGGGATGGCTGCTTCCCTCAGAGCAGGGGGCACAGGGCTGATCCGACCCTTCACAGGCACTGTCATCCTGCACTGGGAGCTGGAGGAAGTCAGGCAGGACCAGGTCCTCCTTGGAGAGCAGCCCACGCTGGTCGTTGGCCCGGCAGCTCTGGGCACGGTTCAGTAGCTCCACCAGCCCTGAGGAAATGCAGATCATGCACCTGAGCCCAGCACTGGGTATTTGTCCTAACACCTTAGCTGCCCTCTCCACCTGACATGACCCTAAACGTCTCCCAGGCACAGCACCTGCACCTTTTCTCTGCTCCATCACAGCACCCGTGGGACCCTGCACCCATCCCCAGCAGGCTGGGAGACACTAAGTCCACCATAGCCCATGCCCAGCCTCATGGGACCCTGAACCCACCCCCAGCACACCAGGAGCCCTGCATCCCTCACCCTGTGTTTTGCCCCAGCCTCTCAGGTTTCAGACATGCCAGGACTCACCTTCCAGGTCGTACGTGCGGCGGTTGAGGTTCACGGCAGCTGAAGACCGTGGCCGGGAGAAGGAGGAGGGCATCTCCCACCGCGTGTCGGGCTCTGCTCCTGTTGGGCTTCCCTCCTGCCGTGAGTAGCTCAGGTCTCAGCCATGGTGTGAGGAGGTAGCGGTACCCCCAGCCCACATTCCCACTGCCTTCCCACAGCCTGGCTCCCACCTCAGGACCTGCTGCCCAGCCCTGCAGCATGTGCCAGGGCCACAGCTGGGCCCCCCTTCTCCATGGACCACAGCAGCAGCTGTGTGGGCATCTCTTGACCAGGGCTGATGGGATCTTAAGCTCACCTGACTCCGGAGCGGAGAGGGGGCAGCTGCAGCCTCTGCGCTCTCCATCACTCGCACGTCTGCAACAGAAGTGATGCTCAGCACCCTGTCCCAGCATCCTGGTCCTGGCCCAGCCAGTGACAGGCTGGAGCCCATCCCAGGGAGCAAGAGCCATGGACACCAGAAAGCAGCCTGGCCCTGTGAGCACTCTGCAGGGTGGCACAGCTTGAGGGGGCATGGTTTGGGAGGGAGGACTTTTTACCTGCCGGCGTTTCCAGGACGAGTTTCTGAGCAGACACTGTGCTGACCAGCTTCTCCAGGTCCAGGGCAGCCAGCTCGCCTTGCTGCAGAAGCAACAGCCAGCCAGTGTCACGCTTGCTGTGGCACAGCACAGGCAGCCAGGCTGAAGACCTGCGAGCTCCCGGCCAGAGCCCGCTGGCTCACAGGCTGCACAGTGCACCACACCACTGGTCCCTCCCAGCCCACGGTGGGATGCCATGGCCCATCCCAAAAATGGGGATTCTGAGCCCACAGGATGCCCCCAGCACAGACCACTGCTCCCCACCACCTAGTCAGAGGCAGCAGCCCCTGTCCCAAGCTCCAGACCCGCAGCTCCCCCCACCACAGGGGCTGGGGCCGTGCCCCCCGAGGCACGAGGCCTCACCCGCCGCAGCAGCGCCTGCTCCATCCTCACGCCGTACTTCCCCAGCACCGGCTGCAGCGCTTCCCGGATGCGCTTGGTTGACTTCGCCGTGATGCGGATGGTCTTATTGAGGGAGGAGATTTCCAGGCTGCAGAGGGGGAGAAAAGGCTGTGGCAGGCAAACATGGACAGGCAGGGGCAGAGCCAGGGCATTCAGGACTGCATGAGGGGCTGGGTGTGGGGCACTGTGCGTGGCCACACGTGATGTGGACTGGACCCGTGTGGGCAAGAGCTGAAACTCCCACTCACTCAAAGCTTATCCTGTTCTCCAGCTTCACCTCCTGGTCTGCCAGCACTGAGCACTCCTGATCCAGCACCAGCGCTTTCTGCAAGAGCCAAACCATCAAGAGAGAGCCAGTAGAGCTGCACATGGTCCCAGCATGGGGATGGTCTGCCTGGCAGGGGCCCTACTCCCCACTGCCTGCCCTACCTGCTCGTTCCCCACCAGGTAGACCTTGATGTCGGGGAGGTTGAAGCCGCGCTTCTCACATATCCCTGCCAGCATCTCGCGGATGGAGTGGCCAGGCCGGACAGAGGCCAGTGAGGCCGTGCCATCAGGCAGGTACACACAGCAGTACTTCATGGGCTTGGCTGGCAGCTCTGACTCACTGCCCCCCAGGCTCTTCCGTTGGCCCTGAGTGAGGGATGTGCCAGGATGAGCCTAACCAGTGGCACTGTGATTCCATGGGCCTGGTGCGGTGACAACTCACCTCTGTCCAGGGGCTGGTGGCTGTGCTGGCCGAGGAGAGGAAGCCCAGGTCCAGGCTGGCTGAGGAGTTGAGCGAGCCCTGGGATTCCCGCCAGAGCGTGGCGCTCCTGCCGCCTTCTCCCCTCTCTAAGACACACAGAAGGACGGTGGTGGGAACCCTTCAGGGGTGGTGTGGCCCCCTCTGTCCTCAGCACAGCACCTACCTGCCCAGGAGGGCTCCCGCCGCTCTCCCTTCCTGAAGGACCGGCGGGGGCTGTGGTTGGCACCACTGCCCGCTGTCTCTACACCCAGTGGCAGGGACTTGCCCAGCTTCAGCTTCGACTTCTGGGGTGAATTGAGCAGCATCTCAGCATGAGAACATCCAAGGTTTCCCCTTCCCTTTCCCTGGTCCCCTGACTGCTCATCTTGTCCTCAGCTTGGGGCTGGGTTTGCTCCGAGCAGCAGGGAAAAGACCCAGCATCGAAGGGACATGAACTCCTTCTCCATTCCCCCCCACTCACCTTGCTGAGGTCAGGAGGGGGGCTGCTGCTGCGGGAGTGGGGCCTCAGGTCAGGCAGGGGCTGCCCCTGGCTCTCTGCATGCAGGCAGGCCTGGTAGAGCGGGGATTTCACAAAGCGTGTGTAGCTGTCAAACTTCATCAGGTTAAAGATCTGGAAAGGGAGGATGCATGTGCCTAAGACCCCTGCCCACCTATGCCTTGCTCTGGCCACTGCCCTGTGGCGTGGCTCCACAGTGACAGCAGTGACGCTGGGTGACATGTGGGATGGTCCCGGAGCCCTCCCCAGTCCTGCAGGTGGAGGACACGTGCTGCCCATACCTGGAGCTGCTGAATGCGAAACATGTCTGGGGAGGGAGTGGCCAGCATGTCCTCCCCAATCCAGGCCTGTTTGTCAATGTTCACAGGACTGACCGAGTGGCTGGAGAGGAACTCATCGTAGATCCGCCGTGCCTCCTGGGCCAGCTGGGGGAACAGGAGGGTCAGGCTGAGACCAGGAATCCCCTCCTTGCTGCCACCCTTGGCTCACCCTATGGAGTCACCTGAGCCCTGAGGAATCAACCTCCCCCTGGGACCAG